CCAATACCAGTCCATTTCAGCTCACTAATGCCTAAGATATCGATGTTTATGCGTTCCATTTCATTTTTGACAACTTCCAATTTTCCCAGATTCATACTGAGACCTTTCAGAAGCACATCACCAGACCTGTCTTCTGGACGGGTTGAAACCATCAGCGTGTAGCCTTTCAGCTTGTAGACACATGCTTAACTATGATGCAACACTGTTGTTGTAAAGTACCGACAAGTCGCTTCCAACTCATCAACTCATAGCGACCCTGTATAGAGTTTCTGAGGCAGGAGCAGAAAGCCTCATCTTCCTCCTGCGAAGTGGTTCGTGGGCTGAAACCACTGACCTCGCAGTCCCAAGTCCAGTGCTTATTATATTATGCAGCATGATCAGTGTTAAAAATTGAAAACATAGAAATGCACAAAGGAAGAAAGAAACGCCCTCCCCTCCACCTCAACCACCTTGGGAAGTCCCTTCCATGGTGGTTTGGGGCTCAGCCCCAAGCCAGGAGAACAGCAGCTGTCTAGGCATGTGTGTAGGTAGCAAGGACCCACCTCCGGCAGTCCGGGCGGTCTGCTTACCAGTGTCTGTGATCCATGTGCTGCCGGATGAGCGTGTGGGGGGCCACCGTGCCGTACTTGTCCACCTCAGGCATGTTCATGTCATCGATGAAGTAGACCAGCTTCTTCGTACCAGGGGGCCCATAGTTCCTCCCTGATTTCTTCTCTAGTGGTTTCTCCAGCACCCCTAGGGCAGGTGGGGAGTGTGAGCCACTGCTGGATCCACCCCCCAAGTCTGCTGTCCCCTGTTATCCCCGAGAAAGACTCCCCTAAAGCAGAATGCGTTTCGGTGAGGGCCCCTGGAAGCAGAGGTCACCCTGAGGAAGGGAGAGTGCAGCTGAGGGGGGCTTTACCTTGCCCACCCTGAGAACAAACAGGTAAGTGGCTACCCTAAGGGCCAGAGACAGAGGGGCTGGATCGCATAGATCGCATAGACCCAGAGAGTCCTGGATACACCCCAGCCTCAGTCCCCACCCCTGAGCAACACTTGGGCAGCAGTTGTCCACCACAAACCAGCTGTCTGTGGACACGACATTGTCCCACTCTGAGCAACAGCTGGGGCAGAGGCGAGGAGGTGAGTTCTGGAGCTTCCGGGAGACCGACACTGAGAAGAGGGTCCCTGAACTACGGCTGAAGGGGTCTAGGCCAGTGATGAGAAACCTGCACCTCTGTTAGGGCGCATCAGAACTCACCCTGCACCCCAGAGTCCAGCCACAGAGTCACCTTGTACCCCAGCATCTGGTCTACAGTCTCACCTCTGCACTTGGCTCCAGTCCCTGGCCTCTTTACAACCTCACCCCACCTCCAGCCCACTTTATACCCCACAGTCCCACCCCTCAACCACAGCCCTGCCCCTCAGGCTCAGAGCCCACCCTCATCTGTAACCCCTCCCCTCTCTTTGAAGCCTTGTCCCATCCGGAAGCCCCACCCCCACCCCTCTTCACGCCCCTCACCCGAAATCCCTCTAGGGCCCTGAAGCCTCACCCTCACTGCAAACATCCTCACTTGCAGGCCCCACCTCATCCCGAAGCCTCGCCCCTTGCTCCACCCTCATCTGCAGCTCCGCCCTCACCCGCAGCCCCGCCCACTCGCGGCCCGCCCTCACCCGCAGCCCCGCCCACTCGCGGCCCGCCCTCACCCGCAGCCCCGCCCACTCGCGGCCCGCCCTCACCCGCAGCCCCGCCCACTCGCGGCCCGCCCTCACCCGCAGCCCCGCCCCACCCCGCCCTCACCCTGCAGCATGGCGGAGGTGGTGTAGAAGTTGAAGGGTACGGCCTGTACTAGGTAGCTATCAGTGCTCAGACTATCCAGCTTGTCCGCCATCAACACTGACTTGCCCGTGCCGGCGTTCCCCACCAGCATGACAGGCCACGACTTTTCCATGAGCAGGTCCATGAAGAAGCGGATGCGGATGGTCTCCGTGGTGTGGACCAGGGAGGCCTGGGGCGAGAGAGGTAACTTTCAAATGCTGTCTTCAGTCTACCTGCAGGGGGCGCTGTGAGTATTTCAACATCCCACCCAAGTGTGTGTGTGTGGGGGGGGGGGGTCACCTGTAGTCCAAGCACCTGGGGGTTACCTGCAGAGGGACGTCGAGGTCCAGCTCGAAGGAGGGCACTCTCTCCGTCCACGGTAGGAACTTCTTGGTATCGGGGTCGATGTAGTAGTCAAAGATGGTCCCCTGGGAGGGGAACTTGATGGTTTTGAATTCGTTGATCCACCATTTGCTGAACTCGACGCGGTAGTCCACAAGCTGTTCGGGAGAAGAAGGCCAGCTGGGTGAGTGAGAGGCGCTGGGAGCCCCGCTGCATGGCAGGTCCCCCTGTGCCCCGGCCACCACCTGGTCCTGGAACATGGCGCCCCCGAAGGCCCAGAAGCAGGCGAACACGAAGTAGAGTTCATAGAGCTCCTTGGGCGAGTCGGGCGGCGCGTTCTTCTCCGTCAGGAGGCATTCGAGCAGGTACAGAATCATCTGGATCACCGTGATCTCGGGCACCGGAGTGATCTTCTTGAAGCCCACCCGCAGCTTGTCCAGGCAGGTGGGCAGGTACTTGTCGAAGAGGATCATTAGGTTAGCCTTCTCCGATTGCACCTTGCGCCTTTCGATCCAGCTGCTCACCACGCTGCGAGAGACGGGGTGCCAGGTGGCAGCGGCAGTGGCGATGGGTGTGGGACTACCATGCGCCCCAACCCTCCGACCTGCTTCCTGCCCCCTCCAGGCGGCTGTGACCCAGGCCCACCACCCCTGGGAGACAGTTGATCCAAAAGAGATCCCTATCCCCCAGTGAGGCCAGGTCATGGAACTTCAGGGGGTCTGATGTAGTTGGTGGGGCATGAGGGTTGTGCAAAATTTCTCTGGAGCCTGCTAGTTATGGGGTACGGTCAGGGTAGAGTAAGTAAGAACCCTTCTTGCCACCATGGGGCAGGGAGGGGAGGGAGGGAAAGAGAGGAGTGGATGGGAAGGGGAGGGGAGGATGACCCCTGTTAACATCTTAAATGCTCACCGAAGGAAGACATCTTGGTGGACAGTGTGCTGAGCTCCCAACCAAATACCAACTTCACTACTGTCCACTCACAGCGGCCCCACAGGATTTCCAATGGGAGCAGACAAACTCATCTTTCTCTTGTGGAGTGACTGGTGGGTTTGAACCACCAACTTCTCAGTTAGCAGCCCAACGCTTAAGCCACAGCAACACTAGGGCTTCTGAGTGCTCCGTAAGTGATTGTCAAGTGCATATGTGCCCCCAGCCCTGTCTCGATCCTCCCCCCAAGCTTGGGAATAATAGAGCAGAAGGGTCAACTCACGGATTCCACCCCAGGTCTGTGGGGTTGATGTACAGTATCCCGGCTCTGGAGACAGTGGCCGGGGTGGCGGTCCTCAGATGACTGATCTCGAACACCAGCCTCATGGTGCGGTTCAGGGGGATCCGCTCGTTGCTGGCCAGGGTGAGGACCTGGGTTTTCAGCAGCAGAGGAGGAGCTGATGTTCTGACTCATAGTGACCCTGTGTAGGGTTTCATGGCAATCCAATGCTTATTATCCTACAGCACCACACACAAGCTGGGTCTACACGGATCCACTCTCGAGGAACCAGAAGGCAACGAGGAACTGGAGGATCTTGATGAAAAACTTCCTGTCACCCAGGACTTCTCAGCCCGCCTCTCTCTCCCATCCCTGATGCCAATGGACAAGACCAGAGGCCTCTAGACTTGCAAGTCATATGCAGCTCTCCGACTGATTCCAATTTGCCTTTCGCAGGAAATTTGCCACTTCCCTTCTCCACCTGACTGAGGGTCAGTTTGTTAAACTTCTAGATGATTCTGGATGCAGCTCCTGCCCCCAATGTGTGCTATCTTTTCTTCATCACACCACGTGTAAATGGACAAGAATGCTCTCCTCAGCTTTACCTTTAACCCAAGGAGCTCTGGTACCACAGTGGTTCTGTGTTCAGCTGCAAATCCAGCAGTGGGTTTGGGGGGAAAAGACCTGGCTAGGGCACCCCATGAGGCAGCTCTACTCTGTCACTGGGAGTCACCGTGAGTTGGAATCGACTTGTTATGTAGGCTACCAACAACAGACATCCTTAGCCCACGTTGCTGCTAACAAACATTTAACAAGAGGTCTGTTCGGCACCCATATTGCCGTTCACTCGTAATGGACATGCTTTGTACGGAGGTCCACCTCACCTGTATCCCAGCCTGACATTTTGCCATTCTGTGTGATTGGGACTTCAGGGGTCTTTGGATGAGCCACCATTGCATCCCAACCCCAGGTGGCTCACCTTGTTGTCGTCCATGACGGTGTTGAGAGACTCAATCCACATGGGGTCTATGTCCCCATCCAAGACAATCCACTTGGGGCCTTCGTGTGTGATGTTGGCCAGGTCCCGCATGATGGTGGAAAAGAGGCCTGTGGGGACAGGGGAGTGGGGGTCAGTCAGGGGGCTGCCTGCCCTGAAGGGCGCCAAAGGCCGGTCATGCTCTGTTACGTCTTGTTGGCTGCTCCCCAGAAACCCTATACAGGGTAGCTGTGAATTGGAACCGACTCAATGGCACACAACAACATTAGTTTGGGGTAGACAAGTTGACAAATGTGGATGGACTCCGTGAATGACAAGATCTGCCTGTGTGAGAGGTGATGAAAGCCAAAGGTGGGTGAGCTATGGGGTGCCACTGCAGATGGGAGGCCCGGGGAGGCTCTGGCGTGACAGCTTTGAGCAGAGCCTCTCCCCCTCCAGGCTGCAGGGGCACCCCCACTATGCCCCCCCCACCTGCTGGTCTCTCGGCCCCTCCTCTCTCCTTACTCCCCTTTCCCCATGAATTTCTTTTTCACCAAATGCCAATCTGACCTGGACACTTTCCTGGTGAAGGCTGATCCAGCAGCCACCAATACAGAGTGAAGTCCATGTCTTCAGCTTGGCACCCCCACCCCCAGACCCTGCACCCCGAACATCTAGGCTTGCTCCCACCCCTCCCCTGCTCTGGGGCCCCTCCCACTCCTCCCCTGCCTGCTACAGTGAGTCTCCTTTGTGTGTGCTCCCATGGGGCACCTCTCGTTCCCCACCAGCTCTTGGTGCCCTGCATGGTCCCCTCTTGGCCCTCTTCAGGGAACCCGGCCAGTGCTGGGTAAAGTCTCCACGCACACACGTTCCGTGAACCTCTCGTGCCCACTGCGAACGCGAATGGGATGTGTCCCCTACACCTGGCCACCCCGTGGGGTTACCGTCTTTCCACTCCCTGGTTGCTGGGTTGATAATGCCGAAGAGCTCATCACAGGTGACGGCCTTGGGATCCAGGTCCACCGCCACTGGCTTCCTCTTCAAGTTCTGGTAGGTTTTGTTGAGGGACTTGAGGACCTGGGCAAAGGTGGGATGGCATTGGCCAATGCCAAGCTGACATGGATGCCTCGGGGAGGGCCTGCCAGGGCATTGGAGTCACCTTTGGGGACCAGCGAATGGAAGAGTGTCTGTGACTGAGCCAGGAGGGGACATGCAAGCAGAGTGATTTGGGGGGGGGTGTCTCATTTGCAATTGTTGACAGGTGGGAGGAAGGGTTTGAACCCCAATGGCAACAGCTCATCTCCATTAGTGCTAAAAACAGTTAAGGTTGGAGGTTCGAGTCCTCCCTGAGGTGCTTCAGAAGAAAGGCCTGGAGATCTGCTTTTGAAAAGTCAGCCATTGACAACCCTGTGGAGTTCAGGTCAACTCTGACACAGCTTCCTTTCTGGCCATGGGATGCCTCGGGCAGGCAGGTTGGGGTCACCGGGAGCAGGGAGGTGGTGGTGGGCGGGGTCCCCACACCTGAGACTTGCCGCTGCCCGCGTTTCCGATGACAAACACCGAGTGGCGCACTTGCAGCAGCTCCTCCAGCTGTACAACCTTCAGCACGAAGCTGTCCTCAGCCTGCAGCTTCAGTTCTAGGACACTCTGCTTGATGATCTGAGGCACAGGGAGCGCTGACCAGTGACCACAGCTGGCCAGTGCTGCAGCCCGGTGCCAGGTGCTGAGCTGACCAGCACTGGGTGCCCAGTGCCAAGCCTCCCAGATCCCAGCTAACCAGGGGCAACCTGATCTGGACGTCCATAAGTTCTGAGAGCCGGCATGGGCAGCGCCATGGAGGCCTTAAGGCTGGGGAAGGTCTGCCCCAAGCCGGCCCCACCCCACTTCCCCTGTGACATCCCCCCCATGTTAAGAGTATGGCGGTCAGGGCTGGGGAGGCAGCAATGTGACCCTCATCCCAACATTGTAACTGCCACCACCCAGGCACACCAGGGAAGGGGGAGGTCCTGGGGGCGTCTGGGATGCCCACCTTTTCAAAGTTCAGGTCCCGCTTCCGGGGGACATCCAGGGCGGGGAAGAGGTCCCCGATAAGCCCCATGAACACGGGCAGGTCGTCCGTCACGATCTTGGGGATGTTGAAGTCCCGCAGTGCTCTCATGAGCACCTGGTCCTCCGCCCGGCTGGGGTCCCCCCTCTTCAGGGACCCAGCCACCACCAGCACTGACTTGATGGCCCGAAGACCCCAGTCGTAGTGGTCCTGCATGCGGTGGAGACAGTGAGTGGGATGTGAGTGTGGACTCTGACCAACACCAATGCTTCGTCCTGCCTGTCCCCTGGATGGGTCCGGTTCAGCAGGGAGGGAGGGTGTGGGGCCTGGAGTATCTGGCCCCAGGCACTGAGATGACTCTGACAAGATCATCACCGGTTTGGTTTGGGGGCATGTGCGTGGCTACCTCCCTCACCCCAACCTGCTGGGACCAGGGCACAGTGAGCCACACCTGTGTGAACTTAGGATACCGCGAGCACACACCTGCCCTGCGTGGTCCCCTCAGGTGAACTCAGGGCACCCATGAGTATATACCTGCTTGGAGAGCAACTCTTTGCACAGGGTGTAGAGGGTGATGAATTTCCTGGCCAGCAGACGGGCTTCCAGAAAGCCCTCAGCCACCAGCATGATCTCACAGATGAGCTCAAAGTCGGGGACCACCATGGCACAGGGCCTGGGGGAGACCAGCCTTGTCAGTCGGGGGAGTCTCCCTACTCTCAGGCCTCCCCACCTCCACACATAGGCCAAAATTCTGGGTTCCCAACCCAGTGTCTGTCCCTCTTCTCCTCTCCCTCACTCTCTCATGTCCCGCCTCCTCTCCACTTCACTTGTTCCCTCCACTTCATTCATTCCCCACTTGGTCCTCCACTGCACCCCACCCCCCGCCCCCAGTGTACTTTACTTGTCCCCTTCGAGCCTCTCACTGTGTCTCCAACACCTTCTCCCTATACTCCAACTCTTCCCTTCCCTAACTGTCACCCAGAGTACCCCGTCTCTGGTCTTGTCCTGGAGGGCAGACCCGTCTCAAGTGGGGACCCCCTCCAGTCTTCTCTCCCACCTGGAGCCCCACCTGAACAAGGCCTTCAGGTTCTCAGGTAGCTCCGTGCGGCCTGCGTAGCCGGGATTCATGGTGATGAAGATGCCCACGGTGGGGGTCAGGCTGATGATCTCCCCCAGGAAGTTAAAGGTCTTCTTCTTGGCCCGTATTGCATCCTGGACACATTTTACCTGAACAATCGGCACATGAACCCGCGGACATGAGACCACCAGCTTTGTTTGGCTACTAATGTGTGTGGCTACTAATTTGTTCCTATTTCTTGATTTTTAAATAACTTATTTCATTTTGTTGTGGAGCATGCACACAGCAGAACATATAAGGGGGCTTCAAAAAGTTCATGGGAAAATCCCATCATCATTTAATTCCATTTTCCACAAACTTGAAACAAAACACATGTGTACCCTCCTGGTGTAAGGAGCTCTGGTAGCGTAGTGGTTACGAATCGGGCTGCGAACCTTAAGGTCAGCAGTTCGAAACTACCAGCCGCTCCGCGGGAGAAAGATGAGGCTTTCTACTCCCGTAAGGATTTACACCCTCGGAAACCCTGTACAGGGTCGCTATGGGTCGGAACCGACTCGACGGCACTTAACAACAACAACAACCCTCCTGGTGTGGACTGCTAACTGCAAGGTAGGTGGTTCAAATCCACCAGCTACTTCTATACAGGGTTATTATGAGTTGCAACCAACTTGATGGCACTTTTAACAACAAAAACGACCTTCCCTCTTGCCAGTGCTCATGAACTTTTTGAAGCCCCCTCATACAGCAATTCAACACTTTCTCCATGTATATTCAAGTTCTGCAACCATTTTCACACTTCTTTTCCGGGTTATTTCTCCTCCATGATCCTGAACTCACAGCCCTGGAGCACCTACCTAAGTGTTCACGTTGGTATTGTCCCTTTTATCTCATAGAGCTAGGTCTTAAAAGAGCACAGTGCTCAAGGCAGACATTCTTTACTACTTAAGTTCAACTTTTGTTGGGTTTTAGAGTTCTGGTGGTGCTGTAGGATAAGCACCGGACTGCCAACCACAAGGTCGGCAGTTCAAACCCACCAACCACTTCACGGGAGGTAGTTGAGGCTTTCTGCTCTGGTAAAGACGATTATGAGTTGGCATTGTCTCAATGGTGGTGGAAGGATGATCTGGCGTTATGAAGGCTTCAGGGGGATGTATTTTGGTGGAAGGTGATCTCAAGGCAATTGTTTCAGGGCCACATTCAGCCTCCATCGATCCAGAAACTCTGGATTCCATGAGAAGTTGAAATTCTCATTTGAGAGAGTTGTAGATTCACAGGCAGTTGTCAGGAGCAGCAGAGAGGCCCTGTGAACCCTTTACACTGTTTCCCTCAATGGCAGTCAGAGTCTGGAACATTCCGTCACCACAAGGATTCCTGTTGCTCCTCTTTTATAGCCCACATCCTCTTCCCTCCCACCCCAGACCCCTCGTTAGGCCCAGCAAACCGTCAGTCAACTGTTCTCCATTTCCATCGGTAATTTTAACATTTCAGGAAAGTTACACGAGTGGACTTGTTCCGCTGTGTGACTTGATGTTTTTCTCCACTCAGCATCTTCCTCTCTCTCACAGTTCTGCCAGATTGTTTCTTCTCACTGGGAATTCCTCCTCCTAGTCTTCTTCCTGCCTGCCTTCCTACCGAGGACAGGGTAATAGCTCCATATAGCAGGTTGCTGCTGCTGGCTATCATCAAGTGGGTCCTCAGCTCATGGCAACCCCATGCAAAACGGGATTTTTGTGCTCCATAGGGTTTTTGCTGGCTGATTTTTGAAAGCAGATCACCAGGTCTTTCTTCCTACTCTGTCTTTCTGGAAACCTGTTCAGCATCCTAGCAACATGCAAGTCTCCACTGACAGCAGGGGGTGGCTACTGTATCATAAAGTCTTAGGAAATCTGGTTACTCAGTGAGATACAGAACTTGAGGGGAGAAGGGATTGGGCATGAGCCTGTCTTTGACCTTTCCAATGGTTCTAACTGGACGCCCTCCCAGAGGCCTACGGAGTGATGCTGTAAACCTCCACACCACCACTAGAGGGCATACTCATGCTCATGGTTAAAAACATTATCCAAACCCCGAATTTTGGTTCTTTATCCACGAATCGGGCTGCGAACCTTAAGGTCAGCGGTTCGAAACTACCAGCCGCTCCGCGGGAGAAAGATGAGGCTTTCTACTCCCGTAAAGATTTACACCCTCGGAAACCCTGTACAGGGTCGCTATGGGTCGGAACCGACTCGACGGCACTTAACAACAACAACAACAACAATCATCAAAGAACTCTAAGAGTTGAGGCCCTTTGATCCTGGACTTTTCTCCCAGTTACTGGTCTACATATGCTAACTATGGCTCACACAGGGCTGGGGGCTGGGGGACCTGAGGACCGTGGCTGGGACTGGAAGCTGTGACCAGGCTGGGAGCCAGGGGATGGGGCTGCCACTCGGAGCATTCTGGTAAAACAGGTTCTACATCAGTATTCTTGACCATTGGCTTTACCCTGGCAGGTAACCTTGGGGTGAGGTCCCCCAGGCCCAATGGGAGGGGACACACCCTCCTGCTCTGGTCGCCACCCCAGGTAACAGTCATGTGGAGTGACCAGCAATCCCTGGTCCTCAACCCATTAGAGCTTTCCCCTCCCTCCCCTCCTCTTTCCCTATGCTCTTCCCTTCCAGCACCTGGTCTAACAGGCCAAGTTCTATACATCCCTTCACTGCCCAACCCAACTGATACCCAGTCACAGAGTCCTGTGTGCCCTACCCCACCCCCCACCCCATCCATCTGAGACATGCAGTCTGACCAGCTGTGGGCACCTGGCAAGTGGGCAGGGCCTCTCATCTTCCTATCCCCCTCCTCCCACCACTCCTAGTGTGTGGTGTGTGCTGACCGGTTTGGTTTTCTAAGGGCTATGAGAGGGAGGCAAGCCAGCCAGCCACTAGCCTGCAGGTAAGTCTTCCTCCAGGACCTGGGGCAGGGCCCCACCCACCTGGACAGCAATCACAGACAAGACCTCCACAGAGATGCGATTGAATTCATCGAAGCAGCCCCAGGCGCCCGTCTGAGCCAAGCCCTTGTAGATGTTGCCGCAGGACTGTGGTGGGGTCCGGGAAGAGGAGGATTGGAGAGGAGTTAGGTTCGGAAACTACTGTCCTTGGGAAGCCAGCAGGTGGCCTGGCTCCCTGCTTGGCAGAGCTGATATTGCGGAGCGCTGGGGCACCTGACCCCAAGCCGCCATGACTTGGCATGCGGACTCCGCAAAGGGCCCTGTAGAAGGGAGAAAGCTCGGACAAGCACCTCTAGGTCACCTCAGGACTTTTCTTCCTGTGCACATAGAGGTGGGGGAGCCCTTTAAGGTGGGGGAGCTGGTGTTCCCCCACCAGATCCCCCCTGCTTACCATCAACATGTGTGTATGGGACTTCCATAGGTTGAATGTTCCTGCCTCTCAAGTCTGGGTGGGGGGTGGTGTGAGGGGACTGTCCTGGACCATCTGACCTTGACTGTCAGCTGGGGCCACTGGCCTCAGCCTCAGGACGGGTCTTCTGGAATGGGGGACTCAGATGCAGATGTGGGGGTCCAACAGCAAGCCCAGGTTCCTGATCTCAGTGCCCACCAGACCCCGAGAGCACCCTTTCTGCTGTCCTGCTGGAGCATCCAGCAGCGGGCAGAGTGGATACCATCAGTGTCTGGGGACACGATGACCCCCCCAGGATACTGACCACAGAACCCAAACGTTCAGGGCTCATGGGAGTGGGAGTGTTGGCATTCGATGCTAGAGTATCCTGGGGACCGGGTCTCCTGCCAGCATACAAGTCTGCATTCTGGGTACACACCTTGTAATCCATCTGCTCAGAGCAGTTGAAGACATACACCATGGTGCCCAGGGCCCGGCCCAGGTCCTTGGTGGTCTCGGTCTTGCCAGTACCCGCGGGGCCAGCTGGGGCTCCGCCCATGATCAGATGTAGGGACTGCGTCAAGGTTATGTAGCACCTGTGAGAGACCCCTGTTTACTTCCTGCACGGTGACCCCACACTATGGTTTCTGAGCGCTGTGGTTGGGTACTGTCGAGTTGAATCCGACTGCCCCATTGGGTTTCCTAGGCTGCCACCTTTACAGCAAGGAGTGCTGGTCCTGCCGAGGCTGAATGGTCGGTGGTTCAAATCCACCAGTCACTCCTCAGGAGAAAGACAAGGCTGTCTGCTCCCATGAAGGTTTATAGCTTATCGACAGTTCCACTCTGCGCTGCAGGGTCGCTGTGAGTGGGGGTCAACTCGACGGCAGCAGGTTGATTTGTTTCTGGGTCATTGGTGTTGGAGCAGATGGCCAGGTCTCTCCTGAGGAGTAGCTGGTAGGGTCAAACTGCCGACCTTTCGTTTAGCAGCCAAGCGCTTAACCGCTGCACCACCAGGGCTCCTGTGACTTCCCAACACAGTGGTGTCGTCGTACCTGCTCCCGAAGTGGAGCAGACGGCACAGGTGGAGTGACCCATCGGTCACTCTAGCCTGGCTGAGGTCAGAGGCATTCCCTACCTGTCCGTGAGTGGGGTGATGACCAGCCTCGGAGTGTTGCCCAAGTATTCGTAGGAATACTGGATTTGGGCATCGCAGATGTTGGCGAAGCAGTGTCTCTTCTCTTCGTCCCAGCGGTGCCGGAGCTGCGACTGCCAGGTGAAAGCCTGGGAACTTTCCACCTGTGGGAACGAGGGGGCCCTGCTTGTCATTGGCCAAGTGGGATGCAGGAGCCAGAGGCGGCTGGAGAGGCCCAGCTTGCTCTTCTGGCCATTTGCTGCTCCCATCCAGGCCCTACATTCAACTTTCAACACTGCTACTAGCTGAATCTGGCGTCTCCAATCTGACCACTCCCAGTGCTCTCTGAGGGGGGGTGGGGGGGGAAGGGTGCGCCTAGTCCACAGGTGGGCACAGGTGCCGCCAGCGTAGAACTGGGAGAAGAGTCCTTTCTGCTGACTCTCTAGGAGAGGATGTGATAGGGGATCAGGTCCTCAGATGCCCAGTCCCGGGTCTAGTCACCACCCTCCCTGCCCCTGGGACACAGCTGCCCGTGCCTTGGCGGTGATCATCTTGGCCACCACGTCTCGCGCATGCACATCGACGGTGCAGATAGTCATGATCTTCATCCTGTCGCCGGCGTTAAGGTTTCCAATGAGCAAGGTAATGAGCACATTGAGCTGGCTGATCTGCAGGAGGGAGGGCACTTTTAGGAAAACACTCGCTGGGTAGCACCAGGGCTGGGTCAGAGCTGAGATGTGGAGCCACCCCCACCCGGGAGGTCAACTAGAGGAAACAGAGAAGAGATCTCCGTTTTGATGAAAGATTCTGTATAAGACTCTTGATCAAAAGGGGAGGTGATTACAGAAAAAAAAAAAAAAATTTAGTTTCATAGAATCCAGACTTTCTGGATCTATGAAGGCTGAATAGGTCCAGAAAACTATTGCCCTAAGATAAACCTTAAACCAAAAATATGCCCTGAAGTCATCTTTAAGCCAAACAATAGTTCAGCTTAACTAGTAAGCCATGTCTGCCATGAGCATTGTGTTTTTTTGAAGATCCGTCTCTATAGGATCAAATCGACTCCAGGTACTTCAAAGGTCAGATGGGAAGCTTGGGGAGGGCAGGAACAATTCAGAAACAAAGGGTGAAAATGTTTGTACAACTTAACTGGTACAAACAGTGCCACCAAATTGTCCAGGTTGAAACTTGTGAATTGGGGTATGCTTTGTGAAATACATTTCCAACAACAATTTCAAAGAGAAGAATATTCTAGGAGTCCTTGTGAGGGGATTGGCTGTGGGGTAGCTTCAGGTGGCTTTCCAGAGAGCAACGCAGGAGAAGAAAAGTCATGAATATTCATTACAAAACAGCTGGCTTCAAAGCTGTACAGATAGTTTGTATATTTCTACTACCAAGTAAATTACACACATAGGACACTACTTAACAAAATATTGACAAGCTGGTGGATGATGAGTGGTTTTGCATTCTTTCATTTAAAAAATTATCTCTAGTTTCTAAATTCAGAACTGGGGATCTTTGAAAAAATAAAAATAAAAAGATTCGAGGCAGCATTTGCTTATTTCTGGATGCATGGTACAGAAATGGAAGCTATATATTTCTGAAAATTGTACTTTTTGGTAGAGCTGCCCTGCTATAACTCCTCTGTCAATGTGTTGTATGGTGGTGGCTTGATGTTGAAAGCTAAGCCATCGGTATTTCAAATACCATCAGGATCACCCTTGATGGACAGGTTTCAGCTGAGCTTCCAGACTAAGAGAGACTAGGAAGAAGGACCTGGTTATCAACATCCAAAAATTAGTCAGTGAGAGCCCTGTGAATCACAAAAGAATATTGTCTAACTTTGCACTGGGCAAATCCACTGCAAAAGGCCTCTTTAAAGTGATAAAAAAAAAACCCCAAAGATGTCACTTTGAGGACAAAGGTGTGCCTGACCCAAGCCATATGTTCAATAGCCTTATAAACATGGGAAAGCTGGACAGTGAAGAAGAAACAATTGATGGGTGTGAATGAATGATGGTGCTGGCGAAGAGTACTGATTGCAGCAAGGACCGCCAGCAGAACAAGCAAACACACATGCTCCTTAGACGCGAGCATGGCGGGGAGACTTCATTGCATGTATTTTGAACATGTCATCAGGAGGCCAGTCCCCGGGGAAGGACAGCTAAAAAGAGGAAAACCCCAGTGAGATGGGCTGGCACAGTGGCTTCAACAATGGCTTTAAGCATCACGATGACTTTGAGGATGGCCGATCCGACAACATTCTGTTCCGTTAGACATGGAGTTCCTGTGAGTCAGACGGACACATGGAACCACATACCTGTTTTTTGTTGTAATCTTTGATAGCATTTTCATATCCTTCCTCCAGTCTTGAAAAAGCCATGCCCACCTCGGTGGTCCACCATATTTGTGTACAGGTTAGTGCAATCTGAAAACCGAAAGCCAGACCACCCCCCCAACACAATGACATCTCAGGTGGGGAAACATCGCAGCAATACATCAAACCGCTCTGCATTAGACCTTGGTTAAGAAAGGGGGCCCTGAAATGCCGAGGGCACCACACCCCACGCCCCATCCAGACACGCTCGCCTCAGACCTGAGCCGGATAATCGAAGATCCATTGCTCCCGCGGCTTCTCCTCATAGGTCACCACAGCCTCTGGGATTTCGTGGCGCAGTGTGGTGCACATCCGGTCCAGCACACGGTTCAGCCAGACTTCCACCTAAGCGAGCAGGGCAGACACAGGTGCTAACCAGGCCTGAGCATGCCTGGCTCCCATGATTCACTTGTTGTAAAGAACAAATAAAAACACTCTCTGTCACCATCATCCCGGGGGAGGAATATGGAGGTTTTCATAACCAGCCCAATCACAGTCAAGTCGGTTCCAGCTGCTATGGTACCCCCTGTGTGTCAGAGTAGAGCTGAGCTCCATGCAGTTTCCGGTGACTGATGCTTTCACATGATGTCCTTTGCCTTTCTTCCAAGCGTCCTTTGCACTATTCAACGAGGCTTGAACTTTTCACAGTGTGGTGAAATGGATTCATTTACAAAACATAGTTGACAAGCCCAGCAACAAACCTAGAGAACCTTGTTCCATTGTGTGTTTGTGTACAAGTTGTCATTTCCAAGCAAGAGGAGTGTGATAACTAAGGTTTCATGTCAACTTGACTGGGCAGGAGTCTCAGAAGTTTAGCAGTTAGGACACAGTGATTGCCCATGATGAGTTCTATCAGGATGCAGCCACTTCCATAACGAGGTCTTCTATGAGCAGCCAATCAACTGAAAGGAAGTTTCCTGGGGGTGTGGCCTGCTTCCAATACATGTGCACGCTCTGGCAAAGCTTGCTTGCTCTTTGCTCAGCGTGGATCCTGCATCTGATTTATCATCTGACCTCCAGTTCATTGGACTTGAGCCAGCAGCCTGCCGGATTGTTTGCCAATCCTGGTTGCCATCAGCAGCCTGCCCTCTTACCTGCTGAGCTTGGGTTCATCTTTCTCTGCAGCGAGAAGCCCGCTGTCTGACCTGGAGCTCCGTGAATCCCCAGAAGCCTCCAGCCTGCCATCTGATCCACAGACTTGGGACTTGCCCGGTTTTTAGAGATAAACCTCTCTCTGTATATACATATAGCCACTGGTAGAGCACATGCTTTGCATATATGAGGCCCCGGATCCCAGCATATCCAACTTAGCTAAACTTCTTCATGGTGGTGGTGGTGGTGGTGGTGGTGGTGGTAGTGTGGTGTGGAGTCGGTTTCGACTCACAGCGACCCTGTACAGACAGGGTTTTCGAGGCTGTAAATCTTGACGGGAGCAGAAAGCCTCATCTTTCTCCCACGGAACAGCGGGTAGTTTTGAACTGTAAGACCTTGCGGTTCGCAGCCCAATTTGTAACCACTTGGAGTCCTAGTGTGGCACCGTAGGATAAGTCCTGGACTTCTAACCTCAAGATTGGTAGTTCAAACTCACAAGCTGCTCCTTGGAAACCTTACACAGGTTTCTTACACAGAACTGACTCGACAGCATATGTACACAGATGAGCATCACTGGTTTTGTTTCTCTAGATACCCCAGCCTCAGACAGGGAGGGAGGGAGGGCACCCAGATAAAAATCTCAAAGAAAAGACTGAATGTGCTCTTCTGAGTTGTTGCTCGTAACCCTCTGGGCCCTGAGGGCTCCTGATTGGACCTCAGGGGAGAAGTTGGACGGAGGGGCAGCCATGGCACCAGGATGCCACCTTCTTGTGGCAAAATATCCACAACATGGAATTTGCCATGGGAACATGGAATTTGCCACGGTAACATGGAATTTGCCATGGTAACCATTTCTAAGTGTACAACTCAGTGGTCTCCAATACATGCACTATGGTGCACAACCACCCCATCTGTCCATTCCAAAATCTTCCATCCCCCCAAATAGGACTCCTGTATCCCTTAAGGAATAACTTCTCCATTCTCCCTGCGGTGCTGTAGGATACGCACTAGACTGTGTACCACAAGGTCAGTGGTTCAAGCCCACCAGCCACTCTGCTGATGGACACTTGGGTTGTTTCCTCCTTGTGGGAGTGTGAATGATGCCGCACTCAACGCTCGTGTGCAGATCTCCGTTTGAGTCCCTTCTTTTGCATCTTTAGGGTCAACCTGATACCACGGTCATCTTCTTGTCCCAGAATCTCTTGTTGGACCAACTTATCAACAGGCCTCGTCTGGGTTTTAAAATACGATACTGGAGGTGGAAGTGGGGAGGGTTTCCTTCTTGACTTCAAACGCCTTGTTTCATAGGCATGTTTGTAAGCAGTCAAGCACGACAAACTAGTTAAAACAAACTGTGGTTAGGGAATCTTACCTCAGCCCCATTAGCCCTGTCCACATATGGCAGAAGCTAGCCCCAAAGTCCAAGTCTGGAAAGTTTGGACTTCTCTTGCTTGAGATTTCACTCCAGCTAATTTACCTCCTACCTCTATCTTGCTGAGGCAAACGCCTGGTGTTTCTGTTGCTTGGTGGGTAGATGGGCAGAGAGATAGGGGAGTGGGGGGAGGCAGCTAGGAAGTGTGCTGTTGGCAGCAATAGCCAGTCCACCTTCAGGGATGGACATGGCAAAACTGGACAAGGGACAAGAGACCCGGGGTAGTCAGGCTGCTTGAATGGGCATTTTTGACAGCTGTTAGAACTTGGGGTGTGTGGCTCCTTCAAAGTGGTTCACTTGGCAAGCTATAAAGATAATTCAGTGACACGTCTGCTGGTCTGCCGAGCTGATATGGCTTGTGTATAGCTGTGGTGCTGGAAGCTATTCCACTAGTATTTTACCAGTAGGCCATCTATGGTGGACAGGTTTTAGTGAAGCTTCCAGAGCAGGAGACAATAGGAAGAAAGACCTGGCAATCTCCTTTCAAAAATTAGTCACTGAAAACCGTGCTGATCACAATTGTACTCTGGCATACACGAGTCATGATAGCAGCTGGTTCCAGACAGGTTGGAGGGAGGAGTGAAGGTGGAGTCTCTGCTTAGGTGACATTGAACATCTGTTGGTTGCTGTTGGAAATGGATAGCGGCCATTAATGTTCCAGCAGCCAGTTACAAACCTAATGAACAAGACTGAACAGACATATGAAGACGGTTGAGAGGACAAACATTTTGTTCCTTATATTGCTGTTGTTAAGTGCCGTCAAGTTGGTTCTGTCTCACAGCGACCCTGTATAGGGTTTCTGAGGAGCAGCTGGTGGGTTTGAACCGCCGACCATGCACTGGCAGTCCAGTGCTGGTTCTTCCGCACCACACCTGGACGCCCGTCAAGCGTTTGTTCTAAGGAGGCAGAGGAAGAAGCGGGAGAGTGGCCCCAGCTCACCTGCCCCGAGAGGTCACATTCCTGGTCAAACTCCACATACTCGTCCTCCTTGCTGTACATGCCCATGCCAAACTTCAGAGGTTTCCCTCCGGCGTCCAGCCGGAACTTCAGTCTGCACAAGCTGTCGAAAAGCTTGGACAAGTGGCGGCTGACCTAGGGGTGGGGGCGGAGAGAGGGCAGCAGCAGAGTCCGGGTGCCTGAAGCAGGTGTGAGCATCTCTTTCTTTTGGGGTACACACCCCATCAAGAAAGGAGCTGTGGTAGCATAGTGGTTACGAATCGGGCTACCAATCTCATAGTCAGCAGTTCGAAACTACCAGCTGTTGCGCGGGAGAAAGATGAGGCTTTCTGCTCCCGTAAAGATTTACAGCCTCAGAAACCCTGTTCAGGGTCTCTATGGGTCGAAACCGACTCCACGGCACTTAACAACAGCAACAACATAACCCCATCAAGGGGCCCAGGTAGTGCAATGGTTAAGCGCTCAGATGCTCACCAAAAGATTGTCTGTTCAAACCCACCCGTAGGCTCTGACGATCTACTCCCATAAAGTTTCAGACCATTGTGTCTACTGGATCCTGACTCATAACGGCACGGCAGGACCAGGTAGAACTGCTTCACAGGGTGTCCAAGGCTGTCACCCTTAATGAAACACACTCACTCACCTTTCTTCTGCCTATAAAGACAACAGCCAAGAAAGTCCTACAGGGCAGTTCTACCCTGTCACATGGGGCCACTGTGAGTAAATCTCTAACAGGACCTAACAACGGCAATATGCTCCCTGTCTCTGGTCAGTGTTAACTAAACCCAGCTTAGCTAACAAAAGGCAATGATGGAGTCACCTCTCAGGCCAGACACGGAGGCCAGACAGACGCATGTTCTAGATTCTGAAGTGCAGCCAGAGTGCTCCTTAGAGGCCAACATGACCAAACTTCGTCTCTCATACTTTGGACACATTGTCAGGAGGGACAGGTCATTGGAGAAGGATCTCATGTTTGGTAAGGTGGAGGGTCAGGGAAAAAGAGGAAGACCCCCAACGAGATGGATTGGCCAGGTGGCAGCATCGATGGACTCAAGCGTGGCAACAGTAGTGAGGTTGGCCCAGGACTGGGCAGTGTTTCGTTCTGCTATGCATAAGGTCGCTATGAGTCGGTACCAACTTGATGGCACCTGACAACAACAACCTAAGGTTCTGTAAGGAGTTCTGATAGCATAGTTGTTACGAGTCCGGCTACTAATCTCATGGTGAGTAGTTTCAAATGGGCAGTGGTTCCACAGGAGAAAGATCAGGTTTTCGGCTCCCATAAAGATTTAGAGCTTCAAAAACCCTCTTCAGAGTGACTAAGAGTCAGAACTGACTCCATGGCACATAACCACCACCACCACCATCACACGGTTCTGTGTGTAAATATTCATACGCCTACAAGGAAGACTCATACCACTATTATTAAAATCTATGCACCAATCACTAAAGCCTGTGATGATGAAACTGAAGAATTCTACCAATTTCTTCAGTCTGAAATTGACCAAACATGCAATCAAGATGTATTGATAACTATTGGTAATTGGAATGCAAAGGTTGGAAACAAAGAGGAAGGATCAGTGGTAGAAAAATATGGCCTCGGTGATAGAAACCGTGCTGGAGAGATCGCATGATAAAATTTTGCATGACCAGTGACTTCTTCGTTGCAAACACCCTTTTAAAACAACATAGATGATGACTATACACATGGACCTCACCAGATAGAATACACAGAAACCAAAGTGACTACATCTATGGGAAGAGACGGTGGAAAAGCTCCCTATCATCAGCCAAAACAAGGCCAGGGACAGACTGTGGAACAGACCATCAATTGCTCATGTGCAAGTTCAGGCTGAAGCTGAAGAAACATAAAACAAGTCCTTGAAAGCCAACATGTGACCTTGAACAATGATTGTGGGCATGGGGCAGGACTAAGCAGTGTTTCATTCTGTTGTGCAGAGGGTCTTTATTATGAGTCAGTACTGACTCATTGGCTCCTAACAACAGCAACAAAGTAAGGTCTGCCCCAGTTTCCCCAAGTCGGACACTCAGATCCTGCCAGCCTCCTTTCTGCATTTCCCATAACTTCTGTTCAGGGAATGGTTCATGGTGACGGCTAAACAACACGGTGAGGGAATCAATGTCACAGAACAGCACATGTGAAGAGGCTTCAAGAAGTCTGTGGGGAAATCTCATTATCTTTCAATTCCATTTTCCATGAACTTTTTAAAATCTCTCATGTGTTGTGTGCAGATGAGCTGTGTGGTGCAATGGGTTAAGGGTTGGACTGCTAACTGCAAAGTCGGCAGTTCAACCCTCCAGTCACTCCAAGGGAAAACTATTTAGCAGTCTGCTTCCCTGAAGATTTACAGCCTCAGAAACGTATAGAGCAGTTCTAGTCTGCCCTACGGGGATGCTCCGAGTCAGAAATGCCTCCACGGCAGTTGGTTTTATATACGTTGCTGTGTGCTGTTGGGGCAAGTCCAGCTGCTAAAGGGCAGGGTAGGACGGCCTCAGAGGGCTTCCACAGAGGCAACCTTGACAAGGAGATTTGAACCACAATTTTTTTTAAAGTGAAAATATACGTGTGTGTGTGTTTGGCACTGTAAGAGCAGTAGCTCTATAGGATAAGCACTAGACTACGAACCACAGCAGGAAGAAAGGAGAACCCCCCCAGGGAGTGGGCATGCCTCTACCCATTTCACAGATTAGGATCACGAGGCACAGGGACGTGGCAGCTGGGGTCGTCCTTCCTGCCATGGCCTGGACTCTGGGCAGTTTCTGGTGGGAGGGCCCAGTGGAGAGAACATAGGGGTGTTGGTGAACTGTCCCTCTCACCCCTGGGTAATCAGGGGTGAGGCCTGCTGGAATCTGGAGGTGGGCTATGTCGTCTTCTTCTGTGGAATGTCCCGGCTGCCTACCTCCACGGGGTCATTTCCGTTGGAGAGAATGTCCAGGAGGTCAGCGGAGGAGACAAAATAGAACCTTGGGAAAGCCAGCCTCTTCGTCTCTAAGTATTCCGCCAGGGCCTTCTCACACACTGCCAGCCTGGGGCGGGGTCCAGAGGAGAGGGGGCTGCTGAGTCAGAGTCTGATGAGGGTCTTCTATAGCCCACCCCATGTGTTCCCTGAACGGACAGTCCTGGAGACCTCCAGCCTCTTAGTCACCAAGATCACCACGTGTCCTTGGGTCAGGCCCAACTCATGCCCACCCCCAACCCCACCCTGTGTGTGTGTCAGATGAGAACTGTGCCCACAGGGTTCTCAGTGGATGATTTTTCATAAGTAGATTCCACTCATGGTGCCCCGTGTGTGTCAGAGTAGAACTGTGCCCACAGGGTTCTCAG